GTATGATATTGATCATAGATATGATATTGATCATATAGTATGATATTTATCAGATATTGATAATAGAGTATGATATTGATCATAGAGTATGATATTGATCATAGAGTATGATAGAGAGTATGATATGTCTCACCTTCCCCTCCCTGGGGCTGAACCTGAGCTGGAAGTTCTCTCCCAGCATGGAGGCTCTGAACCCTCCGAGCTGCAGCTCGGTCCTCAGGAGACGCTCTGACATAACCACGTGGTACCGGGGTCGTATTCACACATCCTGTTTTCAGAATAAAAGCGTTTTCACTGACAACCTGAAACACAGCCATGTTTATTCACTACCAGTTGATCAGGAATGAGTACCGTACCAGAGCGGTGGCAGCCATCTTGGTGAGGTAATCCGTGACGGCGGCGTTTGTCGGAGCGAAGACGGTGAACTCGTCCGCCTGCTCGATCTCCTCCGTCAGGTTGTAGTCCTGCACGCAATCACACACAGTTACAAACAATACATCAAAATATATATTGATTATATTGAGATATTACGTACGATAGGTACGATCTAAAGAGAGAAAAACTCCGGACGCAGGGCGAGCGTCTCCAGCAGACCTTCACTCAGCTTCCTGTCGGGAACCAGACCTGCAACAGGAAGAAGGGTCATTAGCATCGTTAGCAGCGTTAGCATATATAAACATTGTTAGCAGTGATGTGGTTACAGAATTGTTTCGAAAATTGTTTAATGTTCAAAAAGCTCTTGAATTTTTTTCTCATACTGCCTCTTTTCACCCTCTGTCTGAACCAGAGCGAGTCTGCTCTGATGTGATTGGTCAACCAGCTTAGAGATGTCCCGCCTCTTAGCCTATCACGTACAATGTGTTGGAGCGCTAGCCAATAGGAGCGTGACTGTTACGTAGTGATGTTCATTGTGTTCTGCAGCGTGTCATGTGATCACCTGGTCGATGACGTGGATCAGTCCGTGTGGTGGCAGCGATGTCAGCCGTGGTGATGGTGGCTCCTCCCACAGAAAACTGCACCTGCAGAAAGTGTCACACACCTTTAGACTCTGTGTGGTCCTCACAGGTGATTTATGTAACATAAACAAAGAAGACTCACCTGGTTGGTGGTGGAAACAGGAAGTGATGTCTTGAGGAGCGAGGTCAGAGAGGAAGTGCTGCTCAGGCTGGATAACGGGAAGTTCCCCGGGATCATGTGATTCCTGTGGAGGACACAAGCTAGCTGTCAGCGCTAACGTACAACACTCTGAAGAGGTTCAGGTGATTCAGAGTTCAGACCTGAGGAGGCTGGGCAGATTGCCCTTCAGGGTCCAGAAGCTTCTGTCCTCTGAGGACATCTTAGAGACGGCAGCTGAAGACGGGACCAGGAGTGTGAGGTTCTGATCCGACAGAGACCAGGACACACCAGAGTCCTGAACACAACCACAGGACACATCTCAGATCACATGGGATCATCTGAGATCAACTGACAACATCTGGGATCATCTGAGATCATCTGAGATAATCTGAGATCATCTGAGACCACCTGAGATCATCTGAGATCACCTGAGATCACCTGGGATCATCTGAGACCATCTGGGGTCACATGGGATCATCTGAGATCACCTGAGACCACCTGAGATCATCTGAGATCACCTGAGATCACCTGGGATCATCTGAGACCACCTGAGATCATCTGAGATCACCTGGGATCATCTGAGATCATCTGGGTAACAATGGGATCATCTGGGATCACCTGAGATCATCTGAGATCACATGGGATCCCCTGAGATCACCTGAGATCATCTTGGGGTCACATGGGATCATCTGGGATCACCTGAGATCATCTGAGATCGCCTGGGATCCCCTGAGATCACCTGGGATCATCTGAGACCACCTGAGATCATCTGAGACCACCTGAGATCATCTGAGATCACCTGAGATCACCTGAGATCACCTGGGATCATCTGGGATCATCTGAGATCATCTGAGATCAGATAAAAACGGAGTGGACAAAGACGGGTTCTGCGATATGTCCTCTCTTTGAGTTGTTTATGTTTTACAGCTGTGCTGACTATCTGAATGTAGAGAAAGGAATCCGTTTGTACTCACAGTGGTCCAGGTGGAGAACTCAGAAACGTCCGGCAGAGTCATCAGCGCCTGAAGGCATCACGGAAAGTAACTAAGTACATTTACTCCAGACTTTGAATGTATTTTAACATTGAAGTAAAGAAACACAGGTGAGGTGTGAACAGGTGAGGTGTGAACAGGTGAGGTGTGAACAGGTGAGGTGTGAACAGGTGAGGTGTGAACAGCTGGAGCTCACCTGGAAGACGGTCCCATAACACACATGTCCGTCTCCGGAGTATCCATCGTCACAGACACATGTCCACTGAGAGGACAGCAGCTGGCAGGTCGCCTGAACACAACACGGTCAGATCCAGAGACTCAATGCTATGATGGTGAAGGTAGCACTGATACTAACCAGGTCGCCTGAACACAACACGGTCAGATCCAGAGACTCAACGCTGTGATGGTGAAGGTAGCTCTGATACTAACCAGGTCGCCTGAACACAACACGGTCAGATCCAGAAACTCAACGCTATGATGGTGAAGGTAGCTCTGATACTAACCAAATCAAAACGGATATAATAAACTCAGTTCAAAGGCTCCTACACATCCATAGAGGGGACACATGTTGATGTAGAAGAGACATGAAGAAGAGGGGACACATGTTGATGTAGAAGAGACATGAAGAAGAGGGGACACATGTTGATGTAGAAGAGACATGAAGAAGAGGGGACACATGTTGATGTAGAAGAGACATGAAGAAGAGGGGACACATGTTGATGTAGAAGAGACATGAAGAAGAGGGGACACATGTTGATGTAGAAGAGACATGAAGAAGAGGGGATACATGTTGATGAAGAAGAGACATGAAGAAGAGGGGACACATGTTGATGAAGAGAGACATGAAGAAGAGGGGACACATGTTGATGAAGAAGAGACATGAAGAAGAGGGGACACATGTTGATGTAGAAGAGACATGAAGAAGAGGGGACACATGTTGATGAAGAAGAGACATGAAGAAGAGGGGACACATGGTGATGTAGAAGAGACATGAAGAAGAGGGGACACATGTTGATGTAGAAGAGACATGAAGAGAGGGGACACATGGTGATGTAGAAGAGACATGAAGAAGAGGGGACACATGTTGATGAAGAAGAGACATGAAGAAGAGGGGACACATGGTGATGTAGAAGAGACATGAAGAAGAGGGGACACATGTTGATGAAGAAGAGACATGAAGAAGAGGGGACACATGTTGATGAAGAAGAGACATGAAGAAGAGGGGACACATGTTGATGTAGAAGAGACATGAAGAAGAGGGGACACATGTTGATGAAGAAGAGACATGAAGAAGAGGGGACACATGTTGATGAAGAAGAGACATGAAGAAGAGGGGACACATGTTGATGTAGAAGAGACATGAAGAAGAGGGGACACATGTTGATGAAGAAGAGACATGAAGAAGAGGGGACACATGTTGATGAAGAACAGACATGAAGAAGAGGGGACACATGTTGATGAAGAACAGACATGAAGAAGAGGGGACACATGTTGATGTAGAAGAGACATGAAGAAGTGGCTTTTGCAGAATAGGTGTAGTACTGATACTGACCAGGTGGTGGCAGCCCCCCCGCTGGGAGACGCACTGGTTCACCGCCTCACAGTTGCTGCCACTGCCTCTGTAGCCCGGCTTACAGCTGCAGTCACTCTGAGGTGGGGGGAATCAATATCAGTGTCTGGTGACCCCCATCAGGATTTATATTATTATCTAATTTATCATTCCATCTACTTGTTTATAGACTCTTCGTGCACTATTTCTATTTTATTTGTATTTACTTGCACATCTCAAAACATTCTCTTGCACTATTTTATCTGTTATTGTATTCAGGGTCAGGTGTATCAGGTGTGTTCAGGGTCAGGTGTATCCGGTGTGTTCAGGGTCAGGTGTATCAGGTGTGTTCAGGGTCAGGTGTATCAGGTGTGTTCAGGGTCAGGTGTATCCGGTGTGTTCAGGGTCAGGTGTATCCGGTGTGTTCAGGGTCAGGTGTATCAGGTGTGTTCAGGGTCAGGTGTATCCGGTGTGTTCAGGGTCAGGTGTATCCGGTGTGTTCAGGGTCAGGTGTATCCGGTGTGTTCAGGGTCAGGTGTATCCGGTGTGTTCAGGGTCAGGTGTATGAGGTGTGTTCAGGGTCAGGTGTATGAGGTGTGTTCAGGGTCAGGTGTATCCGGTGTCTTCAGGGTCAGGTGTATCCGGTGTGTTCAGGGTCAGGTGTATCCGGTGTGTTCAGGGTCAGGTGTATCCGGTGTGTTCAGGGTCAGGTGTATGAGGTGTGTTCAGGGTCAGGTGTATCATGTGTGTTCAGGGTCAGGTGTATCCGGTGGGTTCAGGGTCAGGTGTATGAGGTGTGTTCAGGGTCAGGTGTATCCGGTGTGTTCAGGGTCAGGTGTATCAGGTGGGTCAGGGTCAGGTGTATGAGGTGTGTTCAGGGTCAGGTATATGAGGTGTGTTCAGGATTAGGCGTATGAGGTGTGTTCAGGGTCAGGCGTATCCGGTGTGTTCAGGGTCAGGCGTATGAGGTGTGTTCAGGGTCAGGTGTATCCGGTGTGTTCAGGGTCAGGCGTATGAGGTGTGTTCAGGGTCAGGTGTATCCGGTGTGTTCAGGGTCAGGTGTATCAGGTGGGTTCAGGGTCAGGTGTATCAGGTGTGTTCAGGGTCAGGTGTATCCGGTGTGTTCAGGGTCAGGTGTATCCGGTGGGTTCAGGGTAAGGTGTATCAGGTGTGTTCAGGGTCAGGTGTATGAGGTGTGTTCAGGGTCAGGTGTATCATGTGTGTTCAGGGTCAGGCGTATGAGGTGTGTTCAGGGTCAGGTGTATCAGGTGTGTTCAGGGTCAGGTGTATGAGGTGTGTTCAGGGTCAGGTGTATCCGGTGTGTTCAGGGTCAGGTGTATCAGGTGTGTTCAGGGTCAGGTGTATCAGGTGTGTTCAGGGTCAGGTATATGAGGTGTGTTCAGGATCAGGTGTATGAGGTGTGTTCAGGGTCAGGTGTATGAGGTGTGTTCAGGGTCAGGTGTATCCGGTGTGTTCAGGGTCAGGTGTATGAGGTGTGTTTAGGGTCAGGTGTGTCCTCACCTGTCCAGGTCCCACGTAGATGCAGGAGGCGTTGGGATGGCAGCCCCCCCCCTCAGGCGCCTGGCAGTTGTTGATTGGCTGACAGTCGTCTCCGTCCCGCCTCCAGCCGCTCAGACACTGACAGCTGTGAGCTCCAGGAGCGCTGCGCACACACTTGGCCTGCAGGGGGCGCAGCACACAATACTGCTTTAATTTAAACTTGAAATACATGTACTGCTATTGAAGATGGATTTTACAAAAGAGAATCAGAGGACAGGGGGAAAGGTTTACATGAAATATGATCTGAGATTAAAAAGTCTCAAATTTGCAAAAGAAAAAATAAACAAGTCTGTGAAATTATAAAGTCATAACATATGGAGAATGAATTCAAATAAAAGCTTGAGAAGTGAAAACTTAAAACTCTGTGGAAAATATGAAATCATAAACATGTCAGTAAATGTTATTAAAGTTATTTTAATAAAAACAAACTTAGATAAAAAAAAAGTTTTTCAACCAAATGAATTATAAATGCAAAGCGTTTAGAAGTGTCTCTGTCGTGGATCAAAGTGCTGCTGGTCTACACTTTAGGGTTTAATAACTCACGTTAACGCTGCAGCCTCCACGGAGGGGGGGTGCGCACAGGTCCGCCTCCACACAGGTGATCCCGTCACCTTGGTAACCATGTTTACAAATACACCTAAGATAAGATAGGATGGAACTTTATTTGTCCCCTCGGGGACATGCAGGCGTTGAGAGCAGCAACAGGTCGGAGTTCAAACAGGATTCACACGAGGTGGAAATAAAGATCAAATAGAGTAAACAATTAAAATAATAATACAAAATGTGTTTAGAATAAAGTGATAAAGTAACTGTTAAAACAAGATATCACAGTAACGTTTGGGTTTAAGTCCTGTCTCTGACTCAATAGGCGCGTTCACACCGCAGTACTTTTCCCACTTAAGTTCCGATATAGTTCCGAAATGTCGCGTTCACACCAAAAAGAGCCTGAACTAAAATGAGTTCATCAGAACCTTTTTCACCCCCTTTCCCGTCCCTGCTAGAGAGCAGGTACTTTCGTGGGAGAAAAAGGTTCCTATGTCTGATTGGCTGGGAGGATTGCAAACCACGCCCCGTAAAACTCCAAAAACGTTTTGTAGAGCCGCCATTTTATTATCCTCGCATTAGCATTATTAGCATTAGCATTAGCCCAGCGCACAAACGCAGAGAGACTAACTTATGGCAACACAAAAGAAAACATGGGAGCGGTGCAGATGAGGAGGTGTCGGCGCTCTGGTGATTTCCTCTGAAGGCTTCAGTAGAAGCAGCTGGGAGTCCCAGCAGCTTCTACTGAAGCCTTCCCCAACTCCGGGGACTTCCGGCCGGGGACTCCGGGTGGCAGTATACACCGTGAAGTGGTTTGCTGCCTGCCAGTAAACCCAAAGCAGAAGAAGAAGAAGTGACGTCAGCGGCTTCATTTGCCTAACCCTAGCCCTCAGGGACTTATTCCGGTGTGAACGCGATCTGTACTTAGTTCATCAGAACTAAAGAGTTCTGATGAACCTTTGTGTGAAAGCGCCTAATGGTTTCTAATGGAGGACACCCTGCCTCCACTCTGTCCCCCTGTCAGACTGACAGGTGAGGGACAGGTGAGCTCACCTGAACGCCCACGCCCCCGGGGTGAAGTCGCAGTCAGCGTGAGCGTGACAGAAGTGAACCTGAAGGCCACACGGCGCCGTCTGTCTCTCACAGAACCGCCCGGTGAAGCCCGGCTGACACGAGTTCGGTTTACAGCGTCCGTCTGAATCTGGACGGTTCTCACACTGCCCGTGGACACAGGGACAGGCTGGGAGACAGGTGAGAGATACAGGTGAGAGACAGGTGAGAGACAGGTGAGAGACAGATGAGAGAAAGGTGAGACATACAGGTGAGAGACAGGTGAGAGACAGGTGAGACATACAGGTGAGAGACAGGTGAGACATACAGGTGAGAGACAGGTGAGAGACAGGTGAGACATACAGGTGAGAGACAGGTGAGAGACAGGTGAGACATACAGGTGAGAGACAGGTGAGACATATAGGTGAGAGACAGGTGAGACATATAGGTGAGAGACAGGTGAGACATACAGGTGAGAGACAGGTGAGACATATAGGTGAGACAGACAGGTGAGACATACAGGTGTGAGACAGGTGAGAGACAGACGAGACATACAGGTGTGAGACAGGTGAGAGACAGACGAGACATACAGGTGAGAGACAGGTGAGAGACAGACGAGACATACAGGTGAGAGACAGGTGAGACATACAGGTGTGAGACAGGTGAGAGACAGATGAGACATACAGGTGAGAGACAGGTGAGAGACAGACGAGACATACAGGTGAGAGACAGGTGAGACATACAGGTGTGAGACAGGTGAGAGACAGATGAGAGAAAGGTGAGACATACAGGTGAGAGACAGGTGAGACATACAGGTGTGAGACAGGTGAGAGAAAGGTGAGACATACAGGTGAGAGACCGGTGAGAGACAGGTGAGACAGAGACAGCTTTAATAAGCCCCACAGTAAGACACCTGTGTGACATCATCAAAGACTTACTTCTGTCACAGGTGGGTCCGAACCTGCTGGAGGACGAGCAGAACTGACAGCGAGAGCCTCCGAAGTTCTGCTCGCAGATACAAGAGCCGTTCCCTGAGATCCCCTCCACACACTGAAACACAAACGCATGTGTGTGTGTGTGTGTGTGTGTGTGTGTGTGTGTGTGTGTGTGTGTGTGTGTGTGTGTGTGTGTGTTACCTGGCCGTGTCCAGAACAGGGTGTCTGGAATCCTCCGGGACAGGAAGTGCAGTCCAGACCGTAGAACCCTTTACAACACGCCCGAGTCTGAGCACAGAAACATCCGTCAACAACCACAACAACAACAACAACAACAACAACAACAACAACAACATGTTTGTTTGTGCTGCGAAACATGTTACTGTAAGACTGTTCCTACGGAAGCCCTGAGAGGCCAGTCAGAAAACAAAATAGAGTGTTATCAGTGTGTTGTTGAGTGTTATCAGTGTGTAGGTGAGTGTTATCAGTGTGTAGTTGAGTGTTATCAGTGTGTTGAGTGTTATCAGTGTGTAGTTGAGTGTTATCAGTGTGTAGTTGAGTGTTATCAGTGTGTTGAGTGTTATCAGTGTGTAGTTGAGTGTTATCAGTGTGTAGTTGAGTGTTATCAGTGTGTAGTTGAGTGTTATCAGTGTGTAGTTGAGTGTTATCAGTGTGTAGTTGAGTGTTATCAGTGTGTAGTTGAGTGTTATCAGTGCGTAGTTGAGTGTTATCAGTGTGTAGTTGAGTGTTATCAGTGTGTAGTTGAGTGTTATCAGTGTGTAGTTGAGTGTTATCAGTGTGTAGTTGAGTGTTATCAGTGTGTAGTTGAGTGTTATCAGTGTGTTGAGTGTTATCAGTGTGTTGAGTGTTATCAGTGTGTAGTTGAGTGTTATCAGTGTGTTGTTGAGTGTTATCAGTGTGTAGTTGAGTGTTATCAGTGCGTAGTTGAGTGTTATCAGTGTGTTGAGTGTTATCAGTGTGTTGAGTGTTATCAGTGTGTTGTTGAGTGTTATCAGTGTGTTGTTGAGTGTTATCAGTGTGTAGTTGAGTGTTATCAGTGCGTAGTTGAGTGTTATCAGTGTGTAGTTGAGTGTTATCAGTGTGTTGAGTGTTATCAGTGTGTTGAGTGTTATCAGTGTGTTGAGTGTTATCAGTGTTGTTGAGTGTTATCAGTGTGTTGTTGAGTGTTATCAGTGTGTAGTTGAGTGTTATCAGTGCGTAGTTGAGTGTTATCAGTGTGTAGTTGAGTGTTATCAGTGTGTTGAGTGTTATCAGTGTGTTGAGTGTTATCAGTGTGTGTTGAGTGTTATCAGTGTGTAGTTGAGTGTTATCAGTGTGTTGTTGAGTGTTTTATCAGTGTGGTTAGTGTTTATCAGTGCGTAGTTGAGTGTTATCAGTGTAGTTGGTGTTATCAGTGTGTAGTTGAGTGTTATCAGTGTGTTGTTGAGTGTTATCAGTGTGTAGTTGAGTGTTATCAGTGTGTTGAGTGTTATCAGTGTGTTGAGTGTTATCAGTGTGTAGTTGAGTGTTATCAGTGTGTTGTTGAGTGTTATCAGTGTGTTGAGTGTTATCAGTGTGTTGAGTGTTATCAGTGTGTAGTTGAGTGTTATCAGTGCGTAGTTGAGTGTTATCAGTGCGTAGTTGAGTGTTATCAGTGTGTAGTTGAGTGTTATCATGTGTAGTTGAGTGTTATCAGTGTGTAGTTGAGTGTTATCAGTGCTAGTTGAGTGTTTCAGTGTGTAGTTGAGTGTTATCAGTGCGTAGTTGAGTGTTATCAGTGTGTAGTTGAGTGTTATCAGTGTGTAGTTGAGTGTTATCAGTGTGTAGTTGAGTGTTATCAGTGCGTAGTTGAGTGTTATCAGTGTGTAGTTGAGTGTTATCAGTGTGTTGAGTGTTATCAGTGTGTTGTTGAGTGTTATCAGTGTGTTGTTGAGTGTTATCAGTGTGTTGAGTGTTATCAGTGTGTAGTTGAGTGTTATCAGTGTGTTGTTGAGTGTTATCAGTGTGTAGTTGAGTGTTATCAGTGGTAGTTGAGTGTTATCAGTGTGTAGTTGAGTGTTATCAGTGTGTAGTTGAGTGTTATCAGTGTGTAGTTGAGTGTTATCAGTGTGTAGTTGAGTGTTATCAGTGTGGTGTGTGTTATCAGTGTGTTAGTTGAGTGTTATCAGTGTGTTGTTGAGTGTTATCAGTGTGTGAGTGTATCAGTGTGTAGTTGAGTGTTATCAGTGTGTGTTGAGTGTTATCAGTGTGTGTTGAGTGTTATCAGTGCGTAGTTGAGTGTTATCAGTGTGTAGTGAGTGTTATCAGTGTGTAGTTGAGTGTTATCAGTGTGTAGTTGAGTGTTATCAGTGTGTAGTTGAGTGTTATCAGTGTAGTTGAGTGTTATCAGTGTGTAGTTGAGTGTTATCAGTGTGTTGTTGAGTGTTATCAGTGTGTAGTTGAGTGTTATCAGTGCGTAGTTGAGTGTTATCAGTGTGTAGTTGAGTGTTATCAGTGTGTAGTTGAGTGTTATCAGTGTGTAGTTGAGTGTTATCAGTGTGTAGTTGAGTGTTATCAGTGTGTTGAGTGTTATCAGTGTGTAGTTGAGTGTTATCAGTGTGTTGAGTGTTATCAGTGTGTAGTTGAGTGTTATCAGTGTGTGTGTTATCAGTGTGTAGTTGAGTGTTATCAGTGTGTTGAGTGTTATCAGTTTGTAGTTGAGTGTTATCAGTGTGTAGAGTGTTATCAGTGTGTAGTTGAGTGTTATCAGTGTGTTGTTGAGTGTTATCAGTGTGTTGTTGAGTGTTATCAGTGTGTTGAGTGTTATCAGTGTGTTGAGTGTTATCAGTGTGTAGTTGAGTGTTATCAGTGTGTTGAGTGTTATCAGTGTGTTGAGTGTTATCAGTGTGTAGTTGAGTGTTATCAGTGTGTTGAGTGTTTCAGTGTGTTGAGTGTTATCAGTGTGTAGTTGAGTGTTATCAGTGTGTAGTTGAGTGTTATCAGTGTGTAGTTGAGTGTTATCAGTGTGTAGTTGAGTGTTATCAGTGTGTAGTTGAGTGTTATCAGTGTGTTGAGTGTTATCAGTGTGTAGTTGAGTGTTATCAGTGTGTAGTTGAGTGTTATCAGTGTGTAGTTGAGTGTTATCAGTGTGTAGTTGAGTGTTATCAGTGTGTAGAGTGTTATCAGTGTGTTGTTGAGTGTTATCAGTGTGTTGAGTGTTATCAGTGTGTAGTTGAGTGTTATCAGTGTGTTGAGTGTTATCAGTGTGTAGTTGAGTGTTATCAGTGTGTAGTTGAGTGTTATCAGTGTGTTGTTGAGTGTTATCAGTGTGTAGAGTGTTATCAGTGTGTTGTTGAGTGTTATCAGTGTGTAGTTGATTGTTATCAGTGTGTAGTTGAGTGTTATCAGTGTGTAGGTTGAGTGTTATCAGTGTGTAGTTGAGTGTTATCAGTGTGTAGTTGAGTGTTATCAGTGTGTTGAGTGTTATCAGTGCGTAGTTGAGTGTTATCATGTTGTTGAGTGTTTATCAGTGTGTAGTGAGTGCTTATCGTGTGTAGTTGAGTGTTCAGTGTGTAGTTGAGTGTTATCAGTGTTGTTGAGTGTTATCAGTGTGTAGTTGAGTGTTATCAGTGTGTAGTTGAGTGTTATCAGTGTGTAGTTGAGTGTTATCAGTGTGTAGAGTGTTATCAGTGTGTAGTTGAGTGTTATCAGTGTGTTGAGTGTTATCAGTGTGTTGAGTGTTATCAGTGTGTAGTTGAGTGTTATCAGTGTGTAGTTGAGTGTTATCAGTGTGTTGTTGAGTGTTATCAGTGTGTTGTTGAGTGTTATCAGTGTGTAGTTGAGTGTTATCAGTGTGTAGTTGAGTGTTATCAGTGTGTAGTTGAGTGTTATCAGTGTGTTGAGTGTTATCAGTGTGTTGAGTGTTATCAGTGTGTAGTTGAGTGTTATCAGTGTGTAGTTGAGTGTTATCAGTGTGTAGTTGAGTGTTATCAGTGTGTAGTTGAGTGTTATCAGTGTGTAGTTGAGTGTTATCAGTGTGTAGTTGCATGTTATCAGTGTGTAGTTGAGTGTTATCAGTGTGTAGTTGAGTGTTATCAGTGTGTTGAGTGTTATCAGTGTGTAGTTGAGTGTTATCAGTGTGTAGTTGAGTGTTATCAGTGTGTAGTTGAGTGTTATCAGTGTGTTGTTGAGTGTTATCAGTGTGTAGAGTGTTATCAGTGTGTTGTTGAGTGTTATCAGTGTGTAGTTGAGTGTTATCAGTGTGTAGTTGAGTGTTATCAGTGTGTAGTTGAGTGTTATCAGTGTGTAGTTGAGTGTTATCAGTGTGTTGAGTGTTATCAGTGCGTAGTTGAGTGTTATCAGTGTTGTTGAGTGTTATCAGTGTGTAGTTGAGTGTTATCAGTGTGTAGTTGAGTGTTATCAGTGTGTAGTTGAGTGTTATCAGTGTTGTTGAGTGTTATCAGTGTGTAGTTGAGTGTTATCAGTGTGTAGTTGAGTGTTATCAGTGTGTAGAGTGTTATCAGTGTGTAGTTGAGTGTTATCAGTGTGTTGAGTGTTATCAGTGTGTTGAGTGTTATCAGTGTGTTGAGTGTTATCAGTGTGTTGTTGAGTGTTATCAGTGTGTAGTTGAGTGTTATCAGTGCGTAGTTGAGTGTTATCAGTGTGTAGTTGAGTGTTATCAGTGTGTAGTTGAGTGTTATCAGTGTGTAGAGTGTTATCAGTGTGTAGTTGAGTGTTATCAGTGTGTTGAGTGTTATCAGTGTGTAGTTGAGTGTTATCAGTGTGTAGTTGAGTGTTATCAGTGTGTTGAGTGTTATCAGTGTGTAGTTGAGTGTTATCAGTGTGTAGTTGAGTGTTATCAGTGTGTATGTTAGAGCCACAATGAAGTCAAAGTTATTATTTAGATTCATAATTTGATAAATGAATTAATGATGTAAAATGATTTATATTGCCATGGTGAATATCTTTTGATGAAATGATTGTTTATTTCAAATCGTAAATATGATCTGTTTCCTTGTACCTTCCGGTGTTTATTTAAGTGAGGTAATTGAGGACAGCCGCGGTGCTCTGAGACCTGATGAGACGGGGAGCGGAACAGTTTTTCGACCGCAAATTGTAAATGAAATTAGTGTTGCAAATTGGACTGCAAAGTATAGTTTATATAGGAAAGTATATCGCCGAAATTATTAGTTAGATTTGTTATTTTGAGACTATTTAAGTCAATACCTTTTTTGTTAATAAATTACATTTTTTGACTGAAAACCTTCGGCTGCTTATTGCTCTGGATTGCGTGTCGTCAACCCCGCTCTATAGCGGCATCAAAGGAAACCTTGGATGCCATTACATCAAGTCGAAAAACTCCGTAAGGAAGAGACACACACATGTGGACACACCGGAGCTGACAGACTGGGCCGGTCGTGAGTAAATAAATGGAATAAATCTGTATACGCATTGAATGGAATGTCGGATGTGTTAAAGTCTAAGAGGAAATCATAACGGCGATGCACGCATTGGAGGAGGAATGTAAATACCTGTGGATCGTCTGTGGAAAGAATGTGATTTAATTTGTTTGTGCAACAAAGGAAGCCAGTGGCGTGCTCTGTGAGACTCATTAAAGGAGCGCAACGTCTTTTACGCACGGCTTAAAAACAAATAAATAAATCATGTCGGACAATCCCAGGACTTCTGCTGACGCAGAAACATTGTTAAAATCACTCAAAGCCTCCCGCAGTGGGAAATTAGGAGCATGCACAAGGAAAATGAAGGAAATGAAGGCCTTGCTTGTGGATGATGGGAATGTGGAGCATGTGAATGAAGCTTTGGAGATGTTTAAACAAAATATAAATGACTTGTGCAGTGTTCATGAATCCGTACAACAGCTTTTATCGGAGGAAGAGAGAGAGGAGGATCATGTGGACTGGTTTGAGCCAAAAATGACACATTTTGAATATTGTATGAAAGATGTGGATGTGTGGAAAAGAGAAAACTTTGCACAATCAAAGATTCATCCCCATGACAGCATCTCGAATGTTTCACACAAGTCAAAGGGCTCAAAAAGCTCTTCAGTCTCCTCAGCATGTATAAGAGCGTCTGCTGAAAAGGCCGCCCTGCTAGCCAGAGCAGCTGGATTAAAGGACAAACATGCACTGCTATTACAACAAGCAACACTAAAAGCTGAACTGGAACAAATGGAACTGGACACAGAAATTGCAGCATCTGCTGCTAAAATAAAGGTTCTGCAAAGCATTGGCATGGAGGAAAAAATTGATGATCAAATTCAAGATGGAATGAATGCTTATCTGGAGGAAAGAAAAGAAAGAAGCACAGACACGTTGGATCCTGAAATCTCAGCCATGGAGTTCATGCCATTGGGTGCAGTGCCTAAAACACCACTTCAGAGGACTGTCATTAATCTCTGCAGCCCTCAGCAACCCACGACACAGTTTAGACCTTTTAAAATGCCCACAATGCATAGCTCCACCCAACGCAATAAAACCCATGATAACCTCGACACTGTTATACAGAGACAGAGAGATATTGCTGACCTCATCATTATGCAGCAAAAACTTACCTTGTTACCAACAATGGAGATAAAAGTGTTTGATGGCAATCCACTTGAATATCAGTCCTTTCTGCGAGCATTCGAACACCTTATTGAGGATAAAACAGCTAGCAGTCATGACAGGCTCTACTTTCTCGACCAGTACACTTCCGGCCAGCCCAAAGATCTCGTTCGCAGCTGCCTGCATATGGAAACCCAAAGAGGCTACACAGAAGCCAAACGGCTATTAAAGGAGCACTTTGGGGACGAGATCAAAGTAAGCAGCGCCTATTTGGAAAAGGCAATGAACTGGACATCAATTAGACCGGATGATGGCAAAGCGCTTCAGGCATATGCAATGTATTTAAGAGGATGCTGCAATGCTATGCAAGATTTACAGTACATGGATGAACTAGATATTCCTTCCAATCTAAGATCAATAATATCTAAACTCCCTTACAAACTGCGAGAGAAATGGCGGACAGTGGCGTATGACATATTACAGAGAACAAAGAGGAGAGCTAGATTTCGTGACCTTGTGGAGCTTATGGAAAAACAAGCTAAAATACTCCTGGACCCATTATTTGGGGATATACAGGATCGCCACATCTCTAGCCCAAAGATGGCCACTAGGAGCCAACCCATGAGCCACAGAACACCTAAGAGTAGAGGCAGCAGCTTCGCCACCATCATCGCAGCAGCATGTGATCAGGAGAGCAGCGCCGCACCATCAAACACAGAGCAGCGTGGCACCTTCAAACAGCCACAAGGGGGCAGTCCTGCCTCTTTTTGCTACTTTTGTAAAGGCACGCTGACTGATTGCCATCAGTTCAAAAATCATCCACACAAGGAAAAGGTTGACTTTTTGAAGATAAATGGTTATTGTTTTGGATGTTTGATGAGGGGTCATATGAGCAGGAACTGTAGGAAAAGGCTGACATGTCAAACGTGTCAAAAAGGTCACCCAACAATACTTCACATTGACAGTCCACTTCTACAAAAGCCTCCCCCTACTGAAACAAAAGGAGCTTGGGTCAACAGTGCACTTGTCTCGGCTGGTGAAGCTACTGGGGCCGGTAGGGATTGTGCCCTAGCCATAGTGCCTGTTCGAGTCAAGGTTCACAAAGGAGATAAGTTTATCTCAACTTATGCTTTTCTTGATCCCGGCAGTTCAGCGTCATTCTGCACAGAGAATCTAATGAGACAGCTGAATCCCAAATCACGAAAAACGACAGTCGTTCTACGAACAATGGGTCAGGAAAGACTTGTAAAGAGTTACGAACTTAAAGGATTGGAGATAGGACATTTAGATGGCAGTACTTACCTTGACCTACCTCAGGTGTACACACAGAGTAAGATTCCTGTCTCAAAAGCAAATGTACCTACCCAAAAGGATCTGGAAAGATGGCCTTATCTAAGTGACATACAGCTGAAAGAAATTGATGCTGACATAGAGCTTCTAATAGGAGTTGATGTTCCTAAGGCAATGGAACCCTGGGACATAATAAGAAGTCAAGGAAATGGACCATATGCAGTCAGGACAGTGTTTGGATGGGTGGTAAATGGACCACTCAACGCTTGTACTGCTGTGGAATCCGGACCTGTGGTCACAATGGTCAACAGAATATCAGTAGCCAACCTGAATGATCTCCTCATCACACAATACAATCAGGACTTCTCGGAAAAAGATTATGAAGAGAAGAAGGAAATGTCAGGTGAAGACAAAAGGTTCATGGAGATAGCATCAAGCTCAGTAGATCTCAAGGATGGACACTATCACCTGCCCTTGCCTTTTCGAAAAAAGGACATAGTTATGCCTGATAACTATGAAATGGTAAAACAACGTACTCTAAATCTCCTAAAGAGGTTTAAGAGGGATGCAGAATATGCCATGGAATACAAAACATTCATGGAGGATGTGTTAAAAAAGGGTTATGCAGAGAGAGTGCCACCAGAACAGCTTAACAGGAATGATGGACAGATATGGTACATACCTCACCACGGTGTTTACCATCAACAAAAGCGCAAACTTAGAGTTGTGTTTGACTGCACTGCATCATGCAAAGGCACATCTCTTAACAAGGAACTTCTCCAAGGTCCAGACCTGGCAAACACTCTCATTGGAGTTCTGCTTAGATTCCGCCAAGAACAAATTGCTTTCATGGGGGACATCGAGGCAATGTTCTATCAAGTGCAAGTCCAGAGAGAGCACAAAGACTTCCTTAGGTTTCTGTGGTGGCCAGATGGAGACACTGAAAAGGCATTGGAGGCATATAGAATGAAGGTCCACCTCTTTGGTGCTGTGTCCTCACCTAGCATTGCTAACTATGCTCTCAGACAAGTGGCAGAAGACAACAGCTTCAAGTACGACGAAGAGGTAACTGAAACAATCAATTCCAACTTTTACGTTGATGATTGCCTCAAATCAGTGGCCACAGTTGAACAAGCTATTAAGCTTATCAGAGACCTCAGAGACGCATGCACCAAAGGAGGTTTCTCATTGACCAAATGGGTCTGTAACAACCGTGAAGTGCTTGCAAGTATACCTGAGCATCACAGAGCAAAGCTATTCAAGGATCTGGACTTTGACAGGGAAAACCTGCCAATAGAAAGAGCACTTGGAATCAAATGGGATACAGAGAAAGACTCCTTCATATTCAAAGTCAATATCAAAAACGGAGCTCTTACCAGGAGAGGGATCCTCTCTACAGTCAGTTCCATCTACGACCCATTAGGATTCCTCTCCCCATTTATCCTTAAAGCCAGGCAGATCCTCCAAGAGCTATGCAGGATAAAGTGTGGATGGGATGAAATCATCCCAGAAGAATACTCAAAACAATGGCAGAAATGGATCACAGAGTTGGAACAGCTTAGCAGATTTCAAGTGCACAGGTGTATGAAACCTGAGCATTTTGGACCAATCAGGACTGCAGAGCTTCATCACTTCTGTGACGCAAGCGAAAAAGGTTACGGCACCACCAGCTATCTTCGCTTTACAAACAGTATGGGAAGGGTCCATGTTTCATTTATTTTGGGGAAATCCAGAGTGACTCCACTCAAACAGATCACTATTCCCAGATTGGAGCTTACTGCAGCAACACTTGCAGTAAAGGTGGACAGGATGTTGAAAAGGGAGCTTAAAGTGGACCTCAACGACTCAACTTTCTGGACAGATAGCACCTCTGTCCTCGGATACATCAGCAACCAGACTAAACGATATCACACATTTGTGGCAAACAGAGTTTCAGTGATCAAGGACCTGTCTCAGGAGAAGCAGTGGAGGCATGTGAGCTCCATGGACAACCCTGCCGACGACGCATCCCGTGGGCTGCATGTAGAAGACTTTCTAAAGACATCAAGGTGGATAACAGGACCTAAGTATCTGGAAAAGGAAAAGGAATATTGGCCAAAAACACCTAAGAACCTGGGCCTTATTCCATCAGAGGACCCAGAGGTTAGAAAGGACGTAGCAGTTAACAGTTTGAGTGTCCACGAAACCAACCCAACAAGCAAACTGTTTGAGTATTACTCATCATGGAGCAGACTGCAGAGAGGGGTTGCTTGGATACTTAAATTAAGGGGAATCCTTCTTCTGCTAAATCAAAGAAGGAAATCTGCTAAAGCTGACCTTGCCCCAGATTGGACTCTTTTGAAATCCTTAAAGGACAAAATGAACAAGCTAAAGTTGACATTTGGATCACAACATCTGTCTGTGGAGGACATTAGAGAAGCTGAAAAGTCAATAATTGACTTTGAGCAAAGACGTCACTTCTCTCAGGAACTTGCACTTTTGGAGAAAGGAAGGCAAGTAAGAGCAAGCAGCTCTATCAGGAAGCTGGACCCAATCTTAGTTGAAGGCATATTAAGAGTGGGAGGACGAATAAGCAAATCGGCAATGCCAATGGATCTGAAGAACCCCATTATCTTGCCCAAAGACTCGACTATATCCAAACTGATCCTGGGCCACATCCATCAGCAGATTGGACACTCAGGGAGAAGCCACATGCTCTCAAGACTAAATCAAAGATTCTGGTTGCCTCGTGCTAACTCGGCAGCCAGAAAAATAATCAAAGCCTGTGTTTTCTGCCGAAGAATGCTAGCCACAGTTGGAGAGCAGAAAATGGCTGACCTCCCAGAGGATCGGGTGTCTCCAGATCTACCACCCTTTACTCATGTTGGTATTGACTTCTTTGGACCCCTGGAGGTTAAACGAGGCAGAGCAAATGTAAAACGTTGGGGAGTGATCTTCACCTGCCTTGTGAGTCGTGCCATACATCTGGAAGTTTCGAGCTCATTGGACACTGACTCCTGCATCAATGCATTGCGCAGATTCATATGTCGCAGAGGGCAAGTGACAAGCATCAGGACAGACAACGGCACAAACTTTGTGGGAGCACAGAAAGAGCTAAGAGCTGCTCTTAAAGACCTGAATCAACACAAGATTCAAAATGCATTACTCAGGGACGGAGTAAAATGGACTTTTAATCCGCCATATGGAGCCCACCATGGTGGAGTTTGGGAGAGGCTCATCAGACCTGTAAAAAAGATTCTGTGTTCCGTTCTAAAAGAACAGAGATTGGATGATGAGACTCTACAGACAGCTTTGTGCGAAGTTGAGAGCATCATGAATGACAGACCATTGACTACAGTTTCAAGTGACCCAAACGATCTCGAACCCCTCACGCCAAATCACCTCCTTCTGCTAAAGACAAAACCGATTATGCCACCTGGACTCTTTCACAAGGAGGACTTGTACTCACGGAGGAGATGGAGACAGGCACAATACCTCGCAGATCTCTTCTGGAGGAGATGGATAAGAGAATATCTCCCAATCATGCAACAGCGAGTCAAATGGCACAACCCCAAACGGAACCTTCGCCCCAATGATCTCGTCGTCATCGTGGATAATACAGCACCAAGAAATTCCTGGCAAATGGGCCGGGTGATAAAGACGTGGTCAGGGTCGAAAGGGCTTGTCCGAAGTGTCTTGGTGAAAACCAAGAGTAGCACCTTACAGCGGCCAATTGACAAGCTCTGTCTGCTTCTGGAAGCAGTTGATTGAACACAAGGTGTCATGTGCTAGTAACCTCTGACACCCAGTATCACACATACACACATATGCCCCCCCCCCTTTTCTCTTGAACTCATGCAAACACACCTAACACAAACATTGGACTATGAACTATGACAATGATTGTATATTGATGA